TGTCCGCTTAACCGATATCCCCTGACCTTCGAGGATGTAATTTATGGCTGCATCTGGGTTGTCACCGCATCGAGAGAGTACTAGTTGAATTAAAAGTTCGGATATTTCAGACCCCACAACTGCTCGGATTTTCTTGACATTCTCTTCCTGTTGGGTCAGACACTCTTGCTGATCAGGAACTTCCTTCTTTTCTGGGAGCTCAGGCTTAGACCCGTGAAGCTTTTCCGCTTCATCTGCCTCCTCAGAGGCCTCCAGCTTAACCAGGGTCGTAATGGGTTCCACTCGTAGGACCAAACCCTCTTGACTATCAGGAACTTGACTCGGTACTAAGCTTAGAGGATTGGCCTCATCTGACTCCACAAAGGGCTCTTGCTTGATCCGAATCGGAACAGGTTTTGCCTGCTGAATCAAACCCTCCTGGCTCTCAGGAACCTCAGTCTTAACAAAGCTTGGAGGGTTCAACCCAGAAAGAGTTTCAGCCCTATCTGACTTCTTGGAGCTCTCTTGCTTGATATGGGTGGAAGTAGGATCCGGCAGTTGAGCCAAAGTTACCAAACCCTCTTCACTATCAGGAACTTCTTCCTTCGCTAATCTCTGAGCTTCGGCCTCATCTGCTACCTTGGAGCCCTCTTGATTGATCGGGGCTGAAATACGAACCCCAGTGCTCGTATTGGTTCGCTTAACAATCACCACCGTAGGAATTTCAAATTTGGGCATTTCAACTGATGAGACTTTCTCTTCCTCTGCGCCGTTTCTGGTGTCCATGTCTTCGATCATAGACACGGAACAGAAGCAGAAGACGAAACAATGGGAACTAGGGTTTAGGAAATGGAACGGAGATTGTGGGGAAGAGGAGAACGAGAAAAGAGAGAGGGAAAATGGAGAAGGCTTTCTGCGCCTTTGAGTTTATAATGGAACTGGTTTTGGCGCGAAACAAAGTTTCTAGTTTTAACCTTCTCCAAATTTTCGCGGCCTTTATTATCTGATATTTACCCTTTATTGCCAACATTTTGGCGCCAAAGCCCAAAGCCCAAAGGGTGAGTGAATGAGTGGGTGAGTAAATTGTTGATTTTACCGCGGAAAAACTGCACTTGTTTCCATGAATGAGATACGTTGTCGTTTGGAATGTCACAGATGGAATAATTGTGGTTCACAAGATTTGCTGCCTGGTTGGGGCTGGGTATGGATTGACGGTTGACCTTATAAATACAATATGGTGCACACGATCACAGGAAGCATGTAATCAATTCTCATCACTTTGTTGACATTTGTATTTTATTTTATTTTTGTAAGTACAAGCAAAGAAATAAATAAAAGGCAAATTCCTACAACAATAGTGACAATTTTTGACACGACATGATAATATAACTTCGAAAAAATATGAAATTAGCGAGCTTTATTGACAATTGCTTGACACAAACACCCATATAAAACGACCTACTAAATATGACTAATAAACGAGCCATATTGGTGCCAAGCTTAATGACCCAACTTTGACGCGATAAACATGTTTAACTAGTATTATATAAGTTTTCGACAACCAAAAAAAAAAGTATTATATAAGGAAAATTAGTTATTTTTTCCTTTATTAATATAAATTGTATTGTACGTGAAGATGTGCAATTATAAGACTATTTTTATGGTTTTGTATGTATTCATATATTAAATTTATTCTTATTTGATAACTGATGTAGAGTGATAGGCTTAGTTCATAGTATTGGAAGCATACTTTGAAATTCTTGGCTCAAAATTTAAATATCCAAATACAAAATAATTATAAACAAGTTGGGTTGGGGATGAGCTACTTGACACGATTAATTAAATGAGTCAAATTAAGATTTATATCTGGCAAATAAAATAAAATTAAGATTTACTATTTTTGGACACAAACAGAACAGGACCGCTTGATCTAAATTGCCACCCAAAGCCCGGTAGAAAAGCTAAAATAGGGCTAAAGAAACAAAAGAAACCAGGCCCAGCTATCTTCTGTTTTGTTGGTAACGATGTTGGAGGATTGGAATTGGACATAATCTATTGTTGTCGCCCAACTGAATTGAAATTAGGCACAGCAATCTTCTGTTTTTTTGGGTCCAATCTTCTGTTCTGTTGGTTGACAATGACAATTCCGAAGGTTTGGAATTGGAACTAATTTATTGGTAAACAATGCTTTCAAATAACCATGAGTAATCAAATGAAATAAATTCGTAATGGCGTGTTTACTAATTCGTAATCGAAATCAAAATAAGAAATTTGGCACATTTGTTACTTGACACGACACAAACCATTACCACCACTAGCCAAAACCAACAATAGCTCCCGCTATAACGCCATTTTGAGTTTTAGAAATTAATTATTTTGGGTTTGAATTCAAATTATCTTCCTCTTTGTAAGATTAACAAATTTAATGTGATCAAACAAGAATAAATGTTGATTAAACCAGTTGATCAAGGTAGTATATTCGTCTTGTCTCTTGCACTAAAGTTCAATACCTTTGAAAGAACAACATATAAACCTTAGCAAAAAATGGGTAGGAAAAATGGATTTGTTTGTATTAATAAGTGTGTAATCCTAAAACTCAAGTCTCATCTCTCTCAAAAAACACTTTAGAGCCATTTTCATTTTGAGGGAGGAGGAAGCAACCGTTCTTCCTCCCCTCTCCCCTCCTCTTTTCCTCCATTCTCCCCTTCTCCCTTCCACCCTTCTCTTCTCTTATCTTCCCCCATTTTCAAAGACAGAAGGTTTCCTTATTTGTCTTTCTTTTTTTCTTTTCTTTTTTTCTTCCACTCATCACAAGAGGATGAGTCTTGGCGTCGAATCTCTACATGCATTTTAGTGTTGGATCTCTATCACCATCATTTTTGCGGTTTCTTCATGTTTGGAATAAGTTGCAAAAACTCTTTGGGTTTTCTGTGTAGTTTTCATTTCTCATTTTGTGAGAGTTTTTCACCTCTCATTTGTGATAGTTTTCCACCTATCTTATGTGAAAGTTTCTTTGTATTGCTATGGCTTGGTTTTTTCAAGCTTTATCTCTTTGTTATGAGTTTGTACTCTTAGTTGGAATGCCTATATAAGAGTTTCTTTGATTATGAATGATCGTTAGTAGAGGAGCCTCATATTGTCTTAATTTTGATGTTAGATTGCTTCGTTATTGTAATTAACCCTTGTGGCAAGTTTGTATTGACCTTTTGGTGGTTAGTGACTTTTTTTTATTGAATTCTGAATATGTATGGGTTTTTTTCTTCCGGCAGCTACAAATGGGCTGGGCTGCTTTAAAGAGCGAATTGATGAAATTATCCCCTGTGTCTGAGTTTAAAGATCAAGCCCCTTCGAAAGGATAGTGAAGCCTTATGAAACACCTTGGTTACCTTCACTAACAAAAATAACAACAGCTTACAGATAAATTCTTGGTTTGGCATGAGAAGCTTGTGGCATATAAGCTAAGCATGAGAGAGAGAAATGACTGCGATTTCCTATGAGAAACAGAGTTTTTAAGGCATGGGAGAAGGGATTCTAAGAGGATTCGTTGAGGAAAGATAAAGGGAGAGAGATGAGGGCAATGAGTGTTTTCCGGTAGCTTGACAGAGGCTCTGTCAAGTGTTAGAACAACCTGCCAAGAGGGAAAACTAAGGAGGAGGAAGATGAGTTGAGCACGAAATTGTTGGGTTTTGGAAGTAAGAGAGGAAGTTTGCTCTTAGGTTGTGGTCTTATCTCCAGTTAAGTGCTGGAAGTTGCAGATATTTTCCGTGGTTACTTGGACCTTTCTAAGGTGATGGGCTAGTTCACTGAAAGGAGGGGCCAACTTCCTAAAGTGATGGGCTATATTTTCTAAGGTAATGAGCTATTTTCTCTTCTTTATGTTTATCACATATTTGAGCTTAAGAAATGAGCTTGAGTTTCGGAGCTTCCAAGCAGCCCAAAACTTCCATTTCTCGGTTCATCAATGGGCCTCATGAAAACTCGTAACCATTCATACTACAACCCGCTCAGTAAGCCCTAGGCATTCACGTAGCTTGGAACAACTTAAGCTTGTAGCGTGGCGTGTTGCTTATTTGCTTGGCATGGCACGTGTGCAAGCGTATATGATGAACTCTTGCGTACCCAAATTGGGTTTCTTCCCAAGTAGGTGTCGTACTGGGCCAGGAATTTATTCGGGCAAAACCGTGAATTTTTTGGACCTCAACAGAATGCAATATAAATTTTTTATAAAAAAAAAAAACCGATCATAAAGTCTTTCAATTATATATATATATATATATAATCATCATAAAGATTAGGGGTGGGCGTGGTCCTCTTCAATCTGGTTTTCAGCTTACACCGAAACTGAAATTGATACTTCAATCGATGCAGTTCAGTTTGATTTTGGTGAAAAAATTATGAAACCCACCAGTCTAGTTTAAATCGGTTTCAATGTGGTTTACGATTTTTCCGAATTTAGATTGAATTTTTGTAAATATATATTTTAAATTATTTTTCTTTACAAATTTCAACTAAAATTTTATTTTTTTGAACTTAAAAATTCACAAATGATCCGATTACTTGCAAAATGTGATGATTATGCATAAAAAAGGAAGGTGTTTTGAAGTCAAGCTTGGACAAATATTACTATATTAGTTATGTGATTAGAAATTTAGCAATGATATAATATTTTATTTTAAAAATACTTAGTCGGTCCGATCCAATTCGATTTTGTAAGGTGTGAAATCGACATCAAAATTGGTTTGGACCGGTGTGATGCAATTTGGTATCGGTTTGTTGAGTTTTTAATCAACAGAGTTTTTTTCTGATTTTTTCCATCCAATTTTCCGTTCTCCATATCCACACCTAATAAAGATAAGAAGAAAAACAAACAGATCATACGCAGGCGAACACAGGCACACAACCGAAAGTCTTTCAAATTAAAAAAATTAAAAAATTTATCATAAAGATAACAAGAAACGCACACGTTGACCCAAGAATTCACCTCCGCTTCGCCTTCAGAGCCAATTTCTCGCGGCAAAGCCATGTGCACTCTTGAGAAGCGCGGTGATCTCTTCTTCCTAACCCTAACCGGCGACGACGAGCACCGCCTCAGCCTAACCCTCATCGACTCGCTCCTCTCGGCTCTCTCCCAAGCCAAGTCCCAAGCCACTCGCGGCTCGGTCCTGGTCACCACCGCCCACGGCAAGTTCTTCTCCAACGGCTTCGACCTCGGCTGGGCCCAAGCCGCCGGCTCCGCCTCCGCCGCACTCGCCCGTCTCAGCAAGATGGTCGCCGCCTTCAAGCCAGTCGTCGCCGCGCTTCTCTCGCTCCCGATGCCGACGGTCGCCGCCGTCCAAGGCCACGCCGCTGCCGCCGGATTCTTATTGGCTCTGAGCCACGACTACTTCCTGATGAGGCGCGATAGAGGCGTGCTGTATATGAGCGAGGTCGATTTGGGGCTGCCATTCCCAGACTACTTCACGGCGGCGTTTCTGGCGAAGATGGGGTCGGTTTCGGGTAGGAGGGACGTGATGCTGAGGGGGATGAAGCTGAAGGGAGACGAGGCTGTCAAGCTTGGGATTGTGGAATCGGCGCACGATAGCGCGGAGAGCACGGTGGAGGCTGCGGTGCGCCTGGGGGAGCAGTTGGCGAAGAGGAAGTGGAACGGCGACGTTTACGCGGAGATCAGGAAGAGTTTGTATCCGGAGTTGTGCGGCGTTGTTGGAGTGGCGGTTGCTACTCCAAAGGCAAAGCTTTGATTCCTCGTGTGTTTCGATCAAGTGTTTAAGAAAATAATTTGAAAGGGGAATAAATTGAAAATGATGATTTCAGTGTTTGAGCTCAGTGAACGCCTAGAACATGGTATTATCATTCTGGTTATTAATCCAATGGATGAATTATGAATATAATAAGTGAAATAAAAACGGTGTGTTTTTTTGTTTTGTTTTTAATTTAAGGTCATTGCATTTAGAAAATGCGTAAATGTTTGGACTTAAAATGGGAGGGTCGGCCAAAGCGAGCCAACCCTATGGGGTCCCACAAATTATGTCGGCCATATGTCTTGATATCCATACGGCACTCACCAAGCTAGAGTGAGAGTGGCATATTTAGCCAACCGACCCTTTTAAATTTCACCCCTAACCCACCAACTTCCATTTATACGAGCTCCTTCCCTTATTCCTCCTCTTTTCAGCCGATGTGGGACTCAGTTACCTATTGTTTCATTTCAAACTCACATCTCTACTCTATTGTCAGAAATAAATTCGCCCCCTTTTTTCTTTCTTTTTCCCGTCATCCTTGTTCTCTTACAATCTTGTACTTATAGAAGAGAGAAAGCAAGAGTGAGAGATGAAGGAGATCCATGCAACAAAAATGTCTCTGATACCCTCCCAAAACGAGAAGAGTAAAACATGTCTAAGAGAAAGTTTCTTTTAACCAGAAACTGAAAATGTCACATACTCCCTGTTCTCAAGCATTCGTGCCAAGAATCTAGACGAGAAAATATTTTGTACAATAAAGAAGAGAATTGGGCACATAATTGAAGGAGATTTTCATGATACTTTCCTCGAATTGAATAAGCCGGATAAAGGAATTTGATATTTTACAATCTAAAGCAAAAAGTCCGAAATGCGTAGCTAAGCTAAGTATCTACCATTTAGCTCCTGTACAAACGAAGACCAACAATTTACTCCACCCAGTTCGCTCTGCCAGTCATATCTGAAAACTGAAAACTGAAAACGTAAAATCAGTAATGTCATTTGATTTTTTCAGAGAGCCTAAATAAACAACATATAATAAGCCTAGAATCAATTGTTAATTGCATGCTTTTAGAGTAGTAAAAAGTTAGACACCTCTGAAATAAGGGGTTCCTTTTTTGTTCATGTAAATAAAAATAAGAGTAGGCAGTTGATCTCACCTTTTAAGAATTAATGTAACACATTGCCTGCGCTTGAAGGAAATAAGAGTCTTTGTACTTTCTTCCACTTCCAATGTGAATCCCATTGCGAATCCAGTCATCACGATGTATCCAAGCATCCCGACCAAAATCAAGAATTCCAAGAATCTGTTGTGAGCAAGATATGTGCTAAGTTGGTAACATTACGAAAAGTGTAACCCATAAAACACATGTTGGTGGATGTCATCAGACACAAAAACCCAACAAAGAGCATACAACTATACCTCCTCCCAACAGTCAACCGACTACAAAAGATGCATACAACTATATGCTAAAAAGGTAGAGGGAGCTTTACTTACCGCTCCACCTTTCCAGGACACAAACATTGGATTTGCTCTTGGTTGCAAGACCTATTTAACATAATATAACGTCCACATATGAGAATAGGCATGACAAGAGATAATATAATGTCCACAAAGTATAGGAACATAAGACTCTGGTCGAGTTTAAGCAACCAAGTAAAAAAGGATTATAATAACCTTCAAGACAATAACAGATAAACTTACCTCAACAGTATCAATCGCTTCATTTGAAGGAATAGTATGTAAAACCCTGCAAAAGGTGGATGCAAATTTAATATTATAAGGGTGTCTAAATCCCTTAAGTGAAAGGTCCATCCCACTTGATAACATTTATTAAATAAGCACATGGGCATATCAGGCTCTCATAACCATGCAATTATATCAAAGTGCACTTGAAAACTAGAAATTCTGCAGAAAGTAGTGATGAGATGATTGGTCAGTAGGTTCAGTGTAAAGAGGAGGAGTAAAAAACTTTTCCAAGAATGGAGACCCTATAAACTAACAGAACTGGGGATCCCCTGACCTAACAACTATTATTCATCTGGCATACTAGGACAGTGCAAACATGAAGCTTAATTGCCTAAGCTATGAGTTCATGAATATAGACCACAAATCTTAACTTAACAATACTCCAAGCCAAACAATCAAAGTCCACATTGGTGGGTTTTCCCTTGTCATAAAATTTGCAAACTTTGATGCACAATTTACATAAATATCGTAAGCATAGATCATAATCACAAATAATAGTCAAACAAGTAGGTTTGCTAGCTTAAAGAAACAGAAGAACCGACCTTTCCTCCACTGCAGGAACAAGACCTCTTGTCAAAGCCACTCCACCAACCTAAGACATGAAATATGTCATTTCTTCGTTCCTATATAAAGTAAGCAAATATAGAAACTCGTAGTCTATCTTGGTTGACAAATTTACCAACTGTATGCTGCAAAACAATTTTCTTTGGAGGTCTATACGTCCTGTCAACAAACCACCAAGTGGTACTACGGTATCAGATATTTGACCAAAAACATAACAAGGTATCAGAGAGAAAAACAGACTAGGCGAAACTACAGAAACATACCTGTTGAAAGAATGCTACTCGTTATGGCTTCTGCAAGGCCAACCTTCTCTTCTTTCTTTGGTTTAGCTGCAAAAACTGGGTAGGTATCCCACATTGGATACCCAACGTTCATGCTGGGATACATGCCATCTGGCATTTCAGGTCTTCTGGGAAATTCCATGTGCCATGTATCTTCCAGCATGTCCTCATAGTCACGAAACCTATTTAAGTAACCAATCCAATATTTATAAAGGTAAAGTGATTTATCCCCAGGTATTTTCATGTTGCAGAAAAGTTTAACTTGGGAAACAGAACTGACCAAACACTGGGTGGGGGAGGATATGCATCTGGAACCAAAAGCATTGGGAAGAACAAACCCATTGGAGGGACCTATTTAAGATAGAGTAAGATTCAAATTTTGCCCACAAATTGATTCAGGACTAAAGCAACTATAATTCACTTTACAAGACACACATTGAGAGCAGTTAATCTTGTCTTATGAGATCCAGCTGGCAAGCCATCTTCATAAGAATGAACTATACCAACAGCATCAAGTTCCCCCTCCTGTATAAAGGAAACTAAATAATTAGAAAACGTATAACCTGAGAACCAAGGTAAAGAACCCTTGTCCAAACACATTCTACACTATTTGGCCATGTATATTAGACACTCCATACAATTCAATCATTAACATATAGTATTTACAAGCACTCAATTAAAAGGATTAGCCTGACATATGTTCTATAGATGATTCACTGTGACCTGAAATTATTTTTTTTCCTTTTTGCACTTTGAAATGTCACAATGTATACTAGATCTTAATGAGTACTTTGGATATGATTGGCTCATTACTCATTATTAAAATTCATTTTAAAATAACATAAAGGGTACAAAACAAACATATACAAAGGCAAACCACCCATTGGATCAAAATTATGGATTATGACCACAACATGTGTGTGTTGTCCTGTAGGTAAGTCTTCACAAGATTTAAACAAAACACAAATATTATACATACATAGATATCGTTCAACCCCACTTGAGTCTAGAGGGGCCACACAAAAATCTAGGCGGCATTGTAAACCACAGCTCAACTGAAGGAATAACCTAGGTTAGGAGAATCATCACTAGTATGATAGTGTGACACTCATCTTTCCTCTCTTTGGGTTCTCTTGTCTAGAAACAATATTGCTATCCATCTAGACTGGTGAGAGCTCTGTATTAATTGGCTTTGCCCTTGCTCCATCCCCTATTTATCCCTTTCTGGTTTTTCAATAAGAAAGTTATTGTTTCCTGGGGGTTGGGGTTGGGTTATGATAGATTATTTTCAACGGCTTCCTCAATCATAACTCTAGCATCCCCTTCAATTGCTTGGTTCAGTATATTACCAAGCAATTGAAATAATCTAACTTTTCTCAGCAGGAGAGATATTTCTTTGCAACATGCCTAATCTCTTCGTAAGACCATCAAAATTACCAAGCAAATGCACTTCTCTCATGTAACAAATATTATTTAAACACATCCCAGAGTAAGTTAAGAAATAACATACCACTCGAATGGTTTTCCATGGCATGATGTGGTAAATACTCTACTAACTAGGATCCCAAACGTTAAAGAGAAACACTACAACAAACTCTACGGTGCCTGGCATACATTTTCTTTTACTTGTTACAAGGGACCCATACGTGCATGCATGTAATTCATGTACTACTGGCATGAACCATGTAGCACAAAAAGAAGCTAGGTTAGATTATAGAAGATAAATTACATATAGGATAATCCATGACAAAATAAGAAAGAAGTAAAAAGAACTAACTTTAATCTCACAATAAGACTCTTTTAGCCTGTTAAGCATCAAGAGATCTATAGGCTTCGCGAACATGTCAGTACGAATTTGTGGCCATGTCTGATGATGTCTCTGAGTCCAAAGAAAGCATCTTGATATGTCCTGAACAAATACACTCATCAATCAACTTCACCAGGAAAAAGTACACTGGCAAATGAAACTTATTAAATCAGCGACATATTAAAGAAGTTCTAAAAACTCCATAAATAATAATAGCAATTATTTAACATCCAAAATCTAGGTTAGCAGAAACAGAAACAAAGAATTCATTTAATTCAAGGAAGTTTAAAAGGTAGAGAAAGAGGTTACAAGATGAGAGTAAGTAACCCAGATGAAATTAAAACGCCATGCAGTGGGACAAATAGGTGATGACAGAATTAGTTCAGTGCTCATATGCTAAAACAACAACTGATGCACCATCACATCGCATAGAACAAGTTGAAGGAGCTTGAAAGACAGACCAATTGAAAATAATCAAACATGATATGAGTCACCATAAGAAAAAAATAATTTGAGACGCAGTTATGAAAAGGAAAAGATGATAGATATATTCAAATTTGTATCACTGGCATAATAAATAGGATGAAGTCATTTGTGCACA